AACATCAAATTTCACCCTCTGATTTTAAAATCCTTTCCACTGCTAGTTCTGAAGCAGATTTACTCATTCGCGAAAGCCTTTTCATATCCAAGCTTAATCCCACTTTAAATGCTAACATTAGGTCAACTCCTCTTGACCTTTTCTAATGCTTTGCTAGGTCTCTAATTACTAACCATTATTTCTTTAATTTACTAATACTATTGCTTTTAATGACAGGTTGTTTTTCATCCTTCCTCTTATTCGCTTATTTGAATACTGTAACCGTTTGAAACTATTTGTATATATATAATACACGCTTGTAAATAAGTTTAATTGCTCTGAAGATGTTGTGAACAATACAACGAAACGTTAGCCAATAAATTTTATATTTTGTTATGTCTTGTCTGAAAGTCATTTGCTGGGCTTTAATTTTCATTTTTAAATTACCCTGTATTACGTGCAACTTAATGAGGTATCTAGACACATGACATGCAGCGCTCTCCTCTTGGGTGGTAAATCCCTTGGCATTAGACAGAGTAAAAAATAAAGTAGGGCACATTAAGGCGCAAAGCAATTTAATGGCATAAAGATGCGGTACTACAGTCCGTTCTGCGCATGTGTATATTGGAGATCGTGGTACAAACAGATTAGCTTGGTTGTATGTTCTTGCAAAGCCTGATAAAGCTAAAATGGTCATTTACTTTGAAAGCAGGATATATAGTTGCTTGCACTAGGTATTGCATAGCCATGTTTTTGTTTATAATTTGGCATTTAAATTCCTCGCCATCTTTTTTGTGCCCACGCATGCGCAGACGTTTTACGTTTTCTTCTGTGGCATTGGTTCTGCTACGTTTTCACCCAAACAAAAATACACCAAATTTGTTATGAAACGTTTGGAATGGACAAGTGCTTTAGAGAGTAGGTATAAACTTTATTCCATTTTCCAAACTTACAAATATTCAGTGCAAGCTTCTTAAGATTATTTAGATCATCATCCATGGTGGCAGTTAAATCCATCAAAATGTAAAAGTCAACAGGATAGTTCGCGGAAGGTTCAATTTGTAATTTGAATGTGATAGGCTCGCCTAGAAACAAATAAAAATATTTAGAAAATATCCGTTGCATTAAACAAGTTAAAAAATAGATAATACATACACTGTACGTAAAGCAGCTGGTTAACTACAATTCAAACACTCATTAATAATTCATGAGCTTATTGGCAAGAAGAAGAGGTAGAATAATTCATATTAACAATTCATAATTCATAATAACTCATTAATAATTCATAAGCTTATTGGTAAGAAGAAGAAGCTTTACTGTATACCTGATAAAACTCATCTTCATTAGTATTCTATATATAAAAGTCTACCCTAATTAGTATTCTTTATATAAAGAATACTAATGAGACGGCATCTATTGTAGTCGTGTTTGAAGCTATTCAAAACACTTGTGTAGGAGTGTTTTATCATAGCTAAAATGCTCGTGCTGCACTCCTACGAGTGTTTGAAATAGTACTAATGCACAGGTACTCGCTTGGACGTATTATAAACAAGTCAATAAACTTATGGCACTGATCGACCAATCACATTCTACCCTACAAAAATGAACGGCACATAGTCACAATTGGTAGTCACGAAAGCCGTGTTTTCTTTCAGGCCCTCATTCTCCGTTCGTCTTTTCTGCTCCAATGAGGGCAGGTTAGCTATATCAGTAATATACTGTAAGTGTATATCGGTGTGTATTAATATTTACTTTGCAGATTAATTTTCTGACACCGGTGTTCAGTATTTTTCAAAACTATATACAAGAGCCCAGACCAAAGTACCATCAAGTTAATACAAAAATCTAGTGTATATATACCAACCTACGCGCACTCTGGCTGAAACTTTTTTAGGTGTTATCTGATTTAAGTCTGTCAGGACTTCCTTTTCCAGCTACAAAATTAGTTGCAATAAATCAGTATTTTGTATCACTTTATAAATACAATGGTAGTATTTAAATACAATGGTATACACTGTACAGTAAGTCATTGTATCCAGCAAAGTGAAAGGGTTAAATAAAAAATTTGTAGCTTGCACAGGCTATCCATCCACCACATGTAGTGACTGTATTATCCATCACATAGTGATTCATTTCTTTAACAGTAAAGCTGGTTTTCCACTTCAAGCGTACCGTACCGAAACGTATCAAAAACGTTAAATTTCAAAATTTCGTGAATGTTGATTGGTTATATAGTACTTCCGTAGTACGCCAAAAAGTTGACTTGCGACGAACTTTTTACTTTGATACGAGAATACACCCGGAAGTACGTGGTTTTATAAACCTCTTTTCAATCTGCGCATGCTTACCAGTACGTTTCGGTACGATACGATACGGGCGAAGTGGAAAACCTGCTTAAGCCGTAGAATAATCCATCACACAGTGATTCATTTCTTTAACATTAAGCCCCGGTCAGACGTCTCATGCACTCACGTCAGCTTTGAACTGGTTCAAATTTTGATGAGAGTTTTCGCGCGTGCGGTAGTATCCAGTCTCTAGTATCCAGTATCAACTCTAATCAACTCTCACGCAACTCTTGTTCTCGTTTGACAATGGCACAGAATAGGAAGGTATAGCAGAAGTGTAACTCAAGCAAGTATTTGTCCGCGTTTTTATAAGCAATTCGTCATCAATAACGCCATCCTGGCTAGTACAACCGGCACTTTGTACCTACCAAAACCTGATAAAAACTTCCGGTTGTACTAGCCAGGATGGCGTGAGTGAGTTAAAATTTCAAGTTACACTTCTGCTGTACCTTCCTATTCTGTGACAATGGCATGGAAACTATCGCTTCTCAACAACTCTCGTTCTCGTTTGATCAGGACTTTAAACTCCGTTTATTATAATATTTTATCTAATATCTGATCGAATATTAGCCCGCGTGGATTGAACACAAAATGTCAAAATCTAAATAAACAACTTAAAAATTTATATTTTCTGAGCTCTTATTTTTCAATGAGCTCTTATTTACAGCATGCTTTTATAACGAAGAAAAAGAAGAAATAAAGATTATTCACAGTTTTTACACGTTTAAATTGAAAATTAATGTCAGAAATTGCTCGCAATGGCTTTGCTCGCTTGAATATACAAATACAATGTTTCTTGTCATTGATTGCTGGAAATTATACTCGAAGTATTAATGAAACATTACACTTGTGTTTGGCGAAATATTTATTATAAACATTTCGCCAAACACGCGTGCGGTTTTTCATTATATGTAATACTTCTCGAACCGTGTAATTTCCCATACAAAACTGTATATTTGGCCAGCTGTTGAGTTGATATGGCGATTTAACAATCAGAAACCATGAATGCTTTTAAATAATAATATATAATAAATACAGTTAAATTGAAGCACACTCACTGTTGGTTTAGAATCTGGATTGCCATCGACTGTCATATTACATTGGAATCTGACATGTTCCTGTGGTGTGTTACATCGAGTACTCGTATAATTCTAAAATTGGCAGTAAAACAATTCATACCGTATATCCAGTTCATTTTCATTGAAAAATGGATTGTACAGTAGCTTTACTGTACATTTTAACGAAACTCGATACATTTTAAAATAGCCTTTGATTAACTATTTGATTATTGTCGGGGCAATACTGTTCTGTAGAAATCAAATTAAAAATTTCATGCAGTCATCAATTGTCAGAGTTTAGATGTGTATATTTTGTATTTATTTTGTATTTGGAAGGCAAATATCTTCCATTATGTTGTTGTACTAATTCAGACTTCAATTAAAAGTACATTTTGGAATCCGCTGAATATTCAAAATTATTTGGAAATAAATCATGCACATGTTGAGCAAAACAGACTTGATGACCACTAACCACTTTAATCCATTTGATACGGCTCATAATTTAGGTCGGTATAATCATCTGACAGAACAAGATGCCATGTAGGTGCATCGTGTACTGTTACCCTTTTTAAGGCATGCACATGTTTGTGGATATTGGGTTGAACTCCAGTCATTACTTTAACAACAAGTTTGCTTTGACCCTCTAGAACTTGGTATAAAGTATGCTTGGTAACCATATCGAAACCTTTAAACTATTTCAAACTCGCACAATTTTTATAACTACTATTAATATTACAGTAGCTCGATGAAATGCATTTTTTTCTTTATTGTACATTATTAGCACCCCAAGCACACAATCTCACATGCTCATCATGGTCACATGATAAGGCAATTCAACAATAATAAGACCTTGTAACTTGTTGGAAAGTTCATGTTATTACAAAAACAATTATTGAATTCGGTTCTCGCAGGATATGATGAATTATTAAGGCCGAGGGTTGTGTTATCTTCAGAAGGCTGAGGCAGATAACACAAACCGAAGCCTTAATAATTCCTCATGCGAGAACCGAATTCAATAATTGTTTTATTATTTATTTGTCGGAATATACAAAAAAAGGTTGGCGAACCTTTCCTTTGAAGAAGCCCTTTGTATTTTCCCGCTTTTGACATAAGCCGCATAAATTAGCGTGACGTCATGGCGTGTTACATTGTTTTTCAACATACCATGAAATTACGTCAAACGTGGTATATTTGTTTTCGATATTCCACGGTGATGTCCAAATTTGAGACGAGTAAACACAGTGAGCGAAAATAAACGACAGTTTAACAATGCAGACTGTACTGAGAAATACAAAAAAAGAATAACCAATAATACACTTCGCCGAGGACAGCATGAAGTATATAACCTATACAAACTACACGAGGCGAGTCGTGCGGGCTCACCACTATATAACAACAATAGGCATATTTAGAACGAGGACGCGGACGTCAAAGACGACGTGAAAATGGCGTCGCATATCCATACATGGGCACAACACGCCATTTTCACGTCGTCTTTGTCGTCCGCGTCCTCGATCTAAATCTGTCCAATAATAAACTATGACGCAGCTACCGAGCGGATATGACGATTTCACCGACAGCTCTTAACCAATCAAATCTCTTGAATTATTTTCAATAAACAATGATTGGTAACACATACCACATCTGAACACCAAGCACATCCTGCTAGTTGCAAGCATGATGAACACTTGTTAGACTCAAGTTGTTCACAACTACCTAAAATTAAAATTATAAACATTCATATACTGCAAATAATATTCACTGTTGAGTAGCAGCATATTGTGTTGTAGACGTAGTAGTATATTAGGTGCATTATGCTGGATCATACAATTCCCAACCAGTGTGGATTATAAAAATAATGGCTGCATGGCAATTGGCTATTTGCCGAACAAAAACATTAATTTTATTCAGCATGGACATTTTATAAAATACACGGCTTTCATTTAAATTAAAGGTACATTTTATTATTTGATTTATTTAGTATATTAAAAAAACCCATAAAAGCAACAGAAGGAACACAAAACATTTTCTTGGCTCTGCTGTAACAAGCAATTAGATCATGTGACAAGTTTATGTTACATGGGGAAAATTCGAAAACAACATCTATGGGATGCTTTCCAGTTGCATGGTTTGTTGAAACTGCTTACCAAAAGTTAAGTAATGTGATTGATCATGCCGGGATGTGATCAGCACAAGCTGTCAATGGAAAATAAAATATCCAAAAGCTGGCAGACCATTTTTAGCCAATGTTCGAGCAACTGCACAGTCAATCGGACTTTTGTCAGACCCAAGCAAAGTCATTATAATCCACACAGACCACATTGTTTCCACCTGGTTCATCACTGACAAAAATATTTAACGCAACATTTGTTCAAGACAGAATGCTTTTAATTAAGAACCTACAACTTCATCATAGTGCATATGCTTCAGTGTAATTTAAAAGCTAACACAGGATTAAAAGACGAACAAAATACAAACACGAACAGGCTTTGTGAAAAGCAAAAGCTTCAAGAGTACTTCGAAAACAAGAAGAAAATAGTCGAACTACGGTAGAAGCAATATTCGTAGTGTTTTAATAATATAAAACGGTATATTAAAAATATCTATATTTGCTGCCGAAGGCAGCACTCCTAATCTTGACATGAAGGTTCTCCAGAGTTCACTCGACCCAGTCTTTCGCGCCGATCTATGTATTGTCGAGATCGAGATCTTGTGTCTGTCCATATTTAAGATGTCGTAATTCCGGGGGAGGGGGAACGGGGGGAGTGCGAGAAAAATATTGAATTGCGTGCACATAATTTGCAAGCTTTTTACTCTGGATCTGACTTGATGCAAAATATACGAACACTTCCCGAAGAAAGCAGGTAAGTTACGTAAGTATGGCTTTATTTATTTGTGCTAATAACCAGCAAGGCGATGAACTGTTTAGCGTTCATTCCAGAGGCAAGCGATGTGCTTTAATTATGAGTTTATTGGCGCTTCTTCGTTTACAACACTTAATAATGTCTTAATACAAGGAGACAAGCTTTTGAAACAATGATTTCATGAATTTACCGGCAGTTTTAATAATAGCCCACCTGATCTATTGTTATATGTGCCAAGCCATAGTGTTCATTTGTAGATGTTTATAGTTTGAAAATAAACGCGGAATGTTGTTTAATCAGGCTTACTGTAATAAGATTCCTAGAGCAACCCAATGTGGATTGTTGTCTGCACCTCGGTCTGCACATACATATTGACTTAATACCAGCAATTTAATACATGTAATAGTATGTCAACTGACTTATGTTAATATATGACTGTCTGTTAATATATATATTAACATACATGACTGCCTGTTAATATATATTATATATCTTTGAGGCCCCTGAGATATATGTCCATTGTTAGCATAATATGAAATAATCCTACCAGCTTACATTCATATATTGATTATATTCATCTGGCTGTGTCACTACAATTCAGAGTATATTATATTTTTCGATAATGCTCAAAATTTCTTTCTTTAATATTAATATAGTTTTGCGGTTCTCACTGAGTACAATCTTAATCATTACAATAAATGGTGTCATCTCAAGCTGACATATAAAAACAGAAATTTCAACAAATAGATCTTGTCTGCCCATCAGCAGATTGTTCGGTTGTTCTGTGATATGGACAGCCTTGAAGGTGGCATTAAAACATTAGAGAGCTTAAGCTTCGCGTTCAACGACAAACTACAAACGTCAGGCAAAGAAAAAATTTACGCTATCAAATGGGCTTGTTGTTTTATAACTAGAATGCTTAACTATTCCCGAGTCATATGAAAGAAAATATGACACGCAGAAATCGAACGAAAATTATGCCAAGAAAAGCCGGTCATGCTGTTTGCCGTTCCCGCAAACGCGAAGCTTAAACTCCCTAAACAAAACCCGACTCAGTACCTTTATATAAACATTGTACAGTATTCAGTGGCAAGCTAGCCGTGGCAACTGACCATGCTATGCTAATAAACCTGCATCTATTTGAACAATGCAAATCATTAAAAACTTGCATAGCATGACCTGTTGCTATGGCCAGCTTCACCACAGACAATATTATAATTAGACATACAAAATAAGCATTGAAGATATTTATATAAAACCGCCCATGCAAAGAAAGTAGAATTAGAACATTTAGCCGACCTTCGACTTTGTGCAAGGTGTTTGATATTCAAATTGCACTTTGCCTACCTCCTGAACAGGCGTCTTAGGGGCTGTTTGCATGATGGAAGGCGGGGTGATTTCGATGTATTGAAATATTAGTCACTAGGTAAATGAAAGTTCAAATGCTGGTTAACAGAACTCAAATGTTGTAGAGAAGATCTCGTGGTTCAAGAAGGTCTGGTTATTATGCTTGAACAACCTTTCGTTTATTGTTAACTATAATCCATCCATCTCTAGAAAATAATGAAGTTTTTTGCTGAATCAAGCACCGTGACTTATTTCAATACATCGAAATCATCCTGCCTCATATCTCGTCCTGGCAAAGCGGGATTATATAAACAGCCCCTTATTCAGCAAATTGCGCATGCTGCCTTTCATCCCT